ATATATATATTATATATATATATATTTGTAGCCATGGAAAAAAATAATTTTGGACATTCGTTTATCAACCAAAATTTGAAAATGAATAGCACATTTGCAAAAAGACAGCAGATACATGAAACTGACTAGATTATCCAATGCAAACAACAAATATTTTTTCAGCATAGGTTAAACCATGTTTGTCTATTTAAAGAAGGAAGGAAAAGGTGATTTGAGTCTACTTGAATTAAAAAGGACATGCAAAGAGTATAAAAAGGCACTTATTATTATATATGTTATTTTTAAATCATCTCTTTTCCAAAGAAAAATTGTTGTGACAGGGCAGGTTGTAGGGACAGAAGCTCCGCATTATGAATTCTACCTAGTTGCTGGTATATTTATATTTGCCTTGTCTTGAGAAAAATAAATACCTATATGTCTATTTATATCTGCATACAAACTATAGTTAAACTATTTTGTAGGCTTGACAGAGAGTCAAAAGTATTGCACACGTTTCAATTTTTTATTTTTTTTTTTTATTTTTATTTTTTTGCAAATTTTGGCAGCCTTTAACTTCATTGATAAGGTAACCATTTTTCCCTTGAATAGTGGAGATTTTAGTTCTAACTGAATTTATTGGGAAAATATTATCAAATAATTATATTAAGGATTTTTTAGATAGGGAAATAAAAGATAAAGATTCAGATAAAGGTCTGAAAAGAGAGCATGTAGGAGGACACATGTCACTGATAGACTGTGTGGTAGATCGACACAGCAACATACCTGGGTCACAGAATGTACGTCAATTGCAAATATATATCTAATATGTTTTAAGAATATTTTCTATTAAATAGAATCAGAATTTGCTTTGTTTAGCTGTAAGAAAAACACAAAATATTCAGGAAAAATAAATCATCATTTATCAATAAATCAAGGTATAGAAGAAGATGCATGAGAGTCCGGTGTTAGCGAAGTTCAGTAAAGTGATAAAAAGGTAAAACTTTACTTAGCCTAGCAGTGAGAAGCTGTTAGTGAAAGGTTATAAATTGTCAGGTTAACAGAGTGAAGTACTGCTACGGCTGGTTTTGAACCGCTGCAGAAAGCTCCATCGTGGGCTTGTTTACATCCTGTTAGACCGGTCGTCTCGTTGTAGCCACATCACCTCGTTCCCACTTCTAAACAATTACATCCATGGGAAGGATCATAACCAGCTGGAATAAAAAGGCAAAGCAATGAAAACGGGGTCCCAGATGTAATAAAGAGGAATGATCATTTAATGCCACCTTCTCATTTCTCTTTATTGCTTATTGTTTATTGCTGCTGTGAGTGTTGACAAGCGTGTGTGCTAACTTATATCTATGTACACACACATTAAGGCGTTTCTGCACATGTGTCACTTTGTATTTCGGTTTATTTAGAAAACGTCTGGCGGCACGTACGTTTATGCACACACACCTCTGTGTGTTTCCAGTACTCTGTCTGTCTGTGTGTGTGTGTGCCTTTTTTCTAAATTAGCTGTGTTTATTAGAGCACGGGCATCAATAGCTTCCCACTCCGCCTCTCAACACCCCCCTCCTCCATAGTCACCCTCTATGCTTTCCCTCCCCCCTCGTAAATTCCTTCAGATGCCTTTTGGGATTCCTAGACCTCCGTGAAATGCGAACTGCCCCTCATAACTCCTGTCGTAAGCGCCCTCATAACGCGCTTCATCGTGTCTCGTAATGCCCCTCTTCCCCGGAGAGGTGGCAGTAAAGGCAGAGACAGAGGAGCTGTGAGGTTTAATGGGGAGAGTCAGAGCCATATTAAACACATGGCTAAAAGGCGTACAGAGCCCCAGGCAGGATTTGATTAAACCGTGTTTAGTGTCCGTTTCTACTGTTGCTGTTGCTTCTGAAGTGTTGTAAAAACGTGTATGTTGAGAAAACGTGTCCGATGCTGCAGAGATTTATGTCATCAAATGGACATTTGTGATGTCATCCTTTCAAACCCAAAGGAAACTCTATAACCTAATCATGTGTTTCCAGTACTTTTTCTTAGCGAGCTTCGTCTTTTTTTCTTGTCTCAATCACTCTCGGGTTAGATGATGTCCATGTTCTAAGAAAAGACAGTCCAGGACAAATTGGGATCTGCTCTGTGTTGTCTCTCTGCTGCTAGCGCTAATGTGATGACATCTGCAGCCGTGTGTGCATTAGTCCCAATATGTGGTAGCTGGTTTGTGGCAGCAACAGATGACACCGGACAGGGATAACCTGGATGAGACAGGTTCATCATGTGGATGTGCCGTGCTCTTTATCCTGCCTCACAAGGTGCATTTTGGGAACTTGTTAAGCTCCTCGTGTGAACATCCAGACGCCCTCAAAAGGAGGCTGAGCGATGAAAGCGGCAAAAATAGATCCACGTCTTAGTAGTCAGTGTTTATCGACCTCTGATGGGCTATATTGAAGAACGGGGAGTAGGTGTGTGTGTGTGTGTGTTTTGTTATCCGCCAAAGCTATTCTTGGCCCATCTGGTTGTCAGCACATTTCACTGTGAAGAGTTACACTCTTCTGTAATGCGTGTGTGCGCAAGTATTTTTGAATGACTGTCAAATACAAAGGCAACACACACACACACACCACGCCTGTAAAAAACGATTTCACTCAGAGTTTGGTTTCATCCAGTGTTTGCCAACAGTGTGTGTTAAATCTGATGACAACACATAAAAAAAGTCTCTTCTAGCCCTTCACAGCCTGGCACCTGCCGGTGTCTGACTTAACCAACAATTAGTCTTTGGCCCTCATAAGGTAGAAGATCTAAGGATCTAAGATTATCTCTTCCTGGGTCCAAGCAGGACTGTCAGCTGGCCTGGGAGCACGGATGAGTTTTTGCCGGTGGAAGTGTGCTGCCATTTAACATCTGGTCCTGACTTTTCATATTAAGCACTGTGGCTTACAGCAAAGGTCAACATCTACATTCTCCCACAGTTACGTCGTTATGAGCGGGCCCCTCCTCTCAGCCTTTTCCATTTCAGTTCACAATCCATTAATTAATAAGGCAGGGATTCTGTAAAATTGTTGTAATGCTAATGGCAGAACTATAAATGGGGCAAAATAGCTTTACAAACCAACGATGCATTAAACCAAGAACCTGCCCATAAAGTGATATGACACCCGGACACAATTTACATGCTGCAATTAAAAGGACATTGTGTTGTTTAATGCTGTGGAAACTGATGCACACTCTCCATAAATATGTGAATAAGTAAGTAATAAGTATAAGTGCGGGATCCTTCAGACTCACGGAACAGGGGACCATTGCAAGGTGTCATTTGGGCGAATAATAATACCCTCAGAGTGTCTCGTACAGACACGAGTGCCATTATAGATCTATTCAGGGCCACTAAGGCCATTTACACTGTGTAGATCAGGTAACCTAACACCACTACTGAGGGCTTCTGAGTCACGTCTGAGCCACGTTGGACACATGCATTTTCCTATAAAGGAGGCTGTGAGTGTGACTTTCAGCCCTTTGTGCGTGTGTATACAACACACACACACACACATTCATTTAAACCCCCATTGCCCCGGAGAAGTGTTGGCTACATTGCTTATTAGGATGAGCAGTTGTCATCAAGCTGGTGTCCTTTCATATGACAGGACCTAACGTTAGACATGTCCTGTTGTCTCCTTGAGATCATTGAGACCAATGAGTGGATGAACGACCACCATCTTCATCAGTCCTGACACCAAAGTCATCTTATAGACATTACTAAAAAAATACATTTAGAACAAAATGATCTGCTCATTTTGTTTCTATACATTTATATCTTATTCACAATTGATTAAATTATCGGGTTTGCCAACGTAAAACAGTAAAATATTCGTATCTATATATTTGTTTGCATATATAGAATGCATTTTTTAAAAGACTTTTCCAGGAACTTATCAGTACAGTATTTTACTGTGAGCAAAGGTTAATGTACTGAAAAAGTATATATTTTCTGAATTTTAACCATAAAAATTGTAACTGCTAAGTAGTTTAAGGCAAATGAGTACTACTACTTCTACTCAACGCTCCTTACTTATATTCGCACGGAGAGGTTGAAACACAACTATACAAACTGACAACAAGGACACTATTCTTTATTAAAGCAGCACATATAACAGTTTTTAAACCATGCCTCAGTCTTCTTTATACTATTTTTAAATTCAAGTAGAAGAAGTCACATGTTATGTATTCTGGTGCAAGCCATTTGTCCCCGTGATGTGAGGACACCCACTTGTATATATTCACAGCACGACTGTCGTGCACCATTAATATCCTGTGTTTCCTTTTGCCATAGGTGTGCGTCTGGACCGGGTGCGAGGCGGCAGACAGAAGTACAAGAGGAGAATAGATGCTGAGAACAGCCCGTACCTGAACCCACAGAATGCCTTGCCACAGAAGAAAACATGTGTGTACACGCAAAACAGATGAATTAAAAAATAAAACTTTTGCTGCAGCATGATGACGGGAGATCCTTAATGTCATAGAGGGATAAGATTGCTGTTGCTATGGCACACTCTGCTTTTACCCATGTTGAGTCCAAACAGTTTAATATTCTTTTCTGTCACAGCAGTGAATCATTTTTATAGCTGGTATTTGCTAATGAGTCAACATTAATCACTGCCAACAGAAACATTTGAAATGAGAAGTGGGGGCACTTTGAAGGGATGTGATAATGTCCCTGTCTGTGGAACAACAATGTTTCTTTCTTTTTTTTTTTAATCTAACCTGTGTCTCCATTAGTAAATAAAAAGTCCCAGCTTTGTGTGATGACTAAGTGCATTTTTCATTCCTTGGGATCGAGTTTTTTTGTTTATAATCAATGAATGATTAAAATGATGTAATTTAAAATTACATGTAGGTAAGACTTTTTTGTTACTTGACATTCCACTTTAAAATGAATATGCTTATATGGTAACTTTGTCTTTGTCACTTGAATTTGGTGTTTTTTTCAGTCACGCACCTGGTGTATTTGACGAATGAGATTTTGGAGGTCAAAGGTCACAAATCAAGTAAAATATGACCTTAAGATTGAAAGATTGAAAATTTTGTTCAAATTTACACCATATCAAAGTGAAGTCAAAGTCAGATTTACAGTCACTTCTGCCATATGTCACGGACGTTTAGAGTAATAAAACTGCAAAATTGCAATTACAAATGGCAAGCTAACGTGAATGGGCCTGAAGTATTTTTTTTTTTTAATTTTCTTTTACCTTTCTCTCTTTCTTTCTGCCTCAGTTTCTGCCAGTGGTGTGGTCGAAAACAAAGTGGTGTCTCTGCTGCTGGTGGCTGAGCCTGAAGGTATCTTTGCCATGCCGGACCCCACTGTACCTGAGAGCGACATCAAGGCTCTGACCACACTGTGTGACCTGGCTGACAGAGAGCTGGTGGTCAATATCGGCTGGGCCAAACATATCCCAGGTAGAGTGCAGTCTAATAATAATCTTTAACACTGAACAACACATTGTCGTACACGCAGCCCATTATCAGAGCAGAGGAAGAGATGGTTGTTGTGTGTGGTTGTGAGGAGAGAGGATGTCAACTGGTATGACTGAGTGTTGTCTGTTGTTCATCCTGTGAGTCTGTGTGTGTGCATGTGTGTACACCATGCCCTTGCAGGGGAGCGCATGCTCCTAATATATCAACCAGATGACCAGTGGCCACCTGGACCTTTTAATTCATTTCCTGGGACGCTGCCGTATCTGAATTACAGAAATCCTTCTGACATTGGAACACGCTTAGTTTCTCCTTGGACAGAGGAACGGCAGCGGGGAACATCCAGAGCTTTTTTTCTTCTTTGGATGACAGGATGGAAATAAGAGATGGGGTGTATTCTGACAGTTTAGCGGGATTAAAACGCTGCTATGCGGCAATGTTGACGGCAATAGTAACAGATGTTTTCTCGTCTTCTTCAGATTAAAGATTGAATTTTAATCTAAATATGATTTACTCAAAATTATATATATAAATATAATGTCCTTTAAAATCCACTATAATCATATAGTACATTGTATGATTATTTAATTATTAATGAAGTATTTGAAATTTTAAAATAGCGGTTGAGTTTCAGAGCAGGCATTAATTATTTACTTATTTTAGTAGTTAAAGCAAACATTTGTATTCTAATATGTTGTATATAAAAATAAAAACAGGCAGTCTCCAAAGGTTAGGGTTAAAATAATAATAAAAAATCAAAATAATAATATCAATTTGACTTGATGTAGTGTTTAAGACAAATTACGGTCTAAGTAGAGATACTACAATGTGATTTTTATTAATATTATATATTTATACAAAGTGTTAATATTTAACCTAATATTATATATTTATACAAAGTGTTAGACAAGAGACTACATTAGGACAAATCTTGTTCTACCTGGTAGAGACAGAGGTCCCAACAGTGGCCAGTTTAAAGGTAATAATTGTCATCCACCAATGGTTTCCTCTCTGCCACTTTTTGCTTTGTCACCCATAGTTTATTCACACCCAAAACACCAGCAGGAAAACACCTGCGGTTTTTGTTGATGTCTTGGCTCTGAGATGCTTACAAAACAAATGAAGCAGGTGTGTGTGTCTGTGTGTGCGTATATGCGCACCATGCTATATTTGTCCCCGTGTTTCTTCATACAGAATGGACATGAAGCAATCATTTATCATTCCAGTGTTTTGTTGGTCTTTGCTGTCCCTCATCAACATTTCCACTCCTGTGTTAAAAACGGAAAACGATGCCCTCATCCAAACACAAACACACACATGCTCTCACACACACACACACACACACACGCCTTCCCCTCCTCGTCTCACATCTCCAGGCTGTAACTGTCTGTCCCTTCTCCTCACGTTCGTCCTTAACTCTCGGTGCACACACAGACAGATGTGGTTTGACTGCTGATTGTACATTTGTAGCTGTTTGCCACTGGCAGCTCTATCTGAGAAAAAGAAGAAGTGCTTTGACTGAGTGGTACCCACTTAACATGGGAGGGGTAACTGGGGGAGTGAGGAGGGGCCTGTCAAGCACATCAGGGAAAAGAAATCTCATTATGGTATTTTTAATTAAATAAAATGACCAAAAGAAATCAAACAAAGTTGTGACAAGCTAATTTACATCAGTAATGATGTTGATCAATAACAGATGAATAGACAGAGACTTGGATGGTAATAATTAGCAATGGGTTGTTTTTTTTTTTTGTACCAAAATAGCCAGATGTTAGAACAGCTTGCTAAACTTTTGGCTTCGTTTTTGTTTTTTTTAGTAGTTTGTAAGAGAGACAAGGATGTGAGGTGTAAAAGCCAAAGTCATAGAGAGAACAACAAAAAATTGTCCCTTCTAGCAAAATGATGGACATGTCACATCAGCTCTGGGTGAGTGGCATCCACATGGCCCTTGTTTCTGCAAAAATGTGGATCCTGGGCAAAGAGGTCCGGGCCATCAGAGTTCTTAGCCCAGGGGGAGGTGAGTGTAATGGGGCTACTGTCCTGACTGTTCCCCCTTTTCTCTGCGTCTGCTCTTATCAGGCAGATTGACAGTGATGTGGTCTGAGCACTGAAGGCCAGACTGGCACATGAGCTGTGTGAAAACCAACTGCCCTTTTTGATTTTGGCCTTTTGGGTTAGCGCTGCACGATGAATGCGAGTGTGAGACTGTAGTGCAACTGGCTCTGTGCTTTTGTTGAGATTGTCACTCTTCAGCACTGTCCTTGTTGTCACCTTTGCAGCATTAAAAACATGCTGTTTTCCTGTTATTGAAGATTGTGCTTGTATGCAACCCTAAAATTCATCAGTGCATTCCCTCGGATTTCATTGCTCTGTCCTGAACACGCACAAACAAGCCAATTCACACAGGTTTGTGCTGCTGATCAATGGTCCAGTGCCAGAATACTGATCCCTATCGACCAGTGAAACTGTGCACAGACAGGATCTCCAATCAATCAGCCAGAAATAGTGAGAAAATGGCCACGGCCATCATCCCTGTGCTGATTGTAAAGAGCAGTGGATGTTGATAACAATCACTGGTAGTGTCAAAAACACAAGCAGTCGGCCCCTCCTCCACCCGCTCCGTAAAAATCATCTGTTTAATTATAGTAAACGTGTACATGTGAGTGTGTGGGTTTATGTGGGGGAGGGGCTCAGCTTTAATCATGCTCCTGTGGGGTGTAATTGTCAATCAAAGTAGGTGTGTCCCTCACAGCATAATTAAATTTACCACATATTCACTTGTGTCCTTTGTTATGCCCTTTGCTGTGTGACTTGCTTTGAAATGATTGATTCTGTCACACCTGGATTCTGCCTAACGACAGATATTAAAAGCTCACTCCATCATCTACACTGCGTAATTTTTGGAACAAAGTAAGTCTGCTAAGACCAAAGCCTCTTACGGTCAAAGACTTTCTTTTTTTTTTCTTAACCAGTGTCGTGTATTTAGACATGGGTATTTCATCCAAATATATTAAACTGTATTTACATTTACACACCCCTGTTGAAAAATACATTTTTATGACCTAAGGATATTTTATTTCAGAACTTTCCTTCTGAATATGAATTTTCTTATTTTATATGTTTTTTGTATTTTTTAATTTTTCAAAATATTTTTTTGCAGTTCTTGCTCAGTCTCAGCTGAGAGATTTTTTTTTAATTATTGTTTTTTTTATTTTGCAACTTGAAATTGGCAGTTGAACCTTGGTGTCCCTCTTTTCCAGCCATATTTATATAATATTTATTTAATAGTCACTTCCTCTGAAGGTTTTTTTTTAATCTCCACCATGTATCTTAAAAAGAATTTTAGTGTGGTTGTTTCAAACTAAGGAACATGTAGGACTGGGTCATAAATAAGAACTGACATTCTTTAGTTTAATTTTCTTCATCCTGCTCGTTTTCCTTCCTCAGGTTTTCCTTCCCTGTCACTGGCAGACCAGATGAGTCTACTGCAGAGTGGCTGGATGGAGATCTTGATCCTGAGAGTGGTGTTTCGCTCGTTAGCCTTGGAGGACAGGCTTGTGTACGCTGAGGACTATGTCATGGACGAGGAGCAGTCCAAATTGGCGGGACTGCTGGACCTTAACAATGCCATCCTGCAGCTGGTGAAGAAATACAAAACCATGGGATTGGAGAAGGAGGAGTTTGTGGTTCTGAAGGCCATTGCACTGGCTAACTCAGGTACTATCATTGGTTGCTACAAAGCACAGGTCTGTTGTGTTCTATGTTGATTTTAAACATTTGTTTAAATAGTTATAAGTCACTTGGGTTCACACAGGGGAGAAGTGATTGGAGCTTTTAGCTTAGAACAGGAAGATCACCGGTCGATGCCTGGAGTTTGTATGTTCTCCCTGTGTGAGTGTCAGTTTTCTCTGAGGAAATTTTTGTATTTTTTGTTGAATAAAAATGTTGTATGATATTATAGTAAACAGCAAGTAATAATTGTATTCTTAAAAGTCCAACTTAAGCAATAATAATTTAATAATTGAGAATATCTATCAATGAGATGTTGTCATGGGCCAAATTTGGAGGGGAGTTTGAACCCACTGGTCTGAATTGAATTGATTTTTGCGTGAGAGTGTTAATAATTGTTTGTCTCTTTATGTGGACCTGTGATAGACTGATAACCTCTGCAGGGTACCCCCCTCCCCTTGTAATTGGTTGATTTGAACTCCCATGAAAAAGATGAGTTGTTGTAAAATGAATGAAAAACACAATACATATCTCAATATCCTTTGTTTTCAACATATCTTTTTTAATCAGACTCCATGCACATTGAGGATTCCCAGGCAGTACAGAGACTCCAGGATGTCCTCCATGGAGCCCTCCAGGATTACGAGTCCACCCAGCATCCAGAGGACCCAAGGCGTGCCGGCAAACTCATCATGACTCTCCCTCTCCTGCGTCAGACGGCAGCGCGTGCCGTCCAGCACTTCTGCAGCATCAAACAGGACGGCCGTGTGCCTATGCACAAACTGTTCCTTGAACTGCTGGAGGCCAAGGCCTGACCCCGACACAACGCCATCCTGGGAACAGATCAGGATGAGAAGAAGAGGGAGGAATGGGTAACAGTGGTAAAGAGACACCACACATTTGTCCATTTCAGCTTGCATTTGATGCTAGTGGTTTTTAATCTGCTGTCATCGGCTGGAATACTCCAGAAAAAAGTGGTCGTGTTTATACGTTTAGTGCCCTGGATGTCGTCATCTGTGTGGTTTGTGACGCTAATCGAGACAAACGACCAGGCAGAGCAGAAGCAGAGGGAATCTCCTTTTAGAGATATTTAAAGTTACATATGCCAAAAGTAGTAGAGCTCCTTTCATGAAAACACCACCTGATACTTGAAGATCCCTGAGGATTGTTTTCACCATTTAAACGCCTGTTAATATGCATCCTTGTGCACTTAGAGAAGCCTTTCATCTGACGTCCTTTGTCCCCTTTTTTGTATAGGAAAGTAAATGTGTCCTTAGCAGTACAGTAAGTCTTGCCAAAGAGTAAAGGCCCATTCTATTGAATTATACCAGCAACTGTCCACACCATTATAATGTGGCCTGTAAGACTCTCACATTCAGCTGCATCCCTGCTCCGCTGTGTAATGCAAATGTATCTATCTAGTCACCACATTCCCGTAGAAAGAGGTCAAGGAAAACAAGTTGGTGTCATAGTCATCTCGTTGTTCAATAATCTGCCTCCTGGTTTCAGTAGAAAATTTCAGGGAAACAGTACTTAACATGTCATGGGAGCCACTTTACTACAGCAATGTGATATTTATTACTATAAAAAATAATCCTGTCTGTGTTTGTTTGCTGTTTTGTTTTTTATTTTATTTACTAACTTGGCATTATTGGTGATTAGATGAGAGCAGTTGCTGTGGCTAATGATTTTTTAAAGGTTTTTAAAATGATATATCACTGTAAGAACATCTTTTTACCAGCTTCTCTGCTGCAGCACTGATACTGACATAAACCATATCAAGACACCGAAGACAGCGGTATCATCAGTGGCGTCTGTAAGTGGAACTTCATCCATTATATATACCCACATGGATGTAATCTTAACTATGTAAACGGCTGCCATACTGTATAATCTGGATTAAGGAGGTGCTTGGTGTCCTTTCTTTAGTAGAAATGTATGTGGAGGGAAAAAAATGTGTGCACTACTTTTGCTTTTTAGGCATGACGTTCGGGGGAGGTGGGATCAGTTGCTCTGTTAATCTAAACGTGTTTAGTGTGAAAAGTCATTCTCTATGAAATGTGTCCTTATCTGCACATAACAAATGAAGGGATTAATCTTTGAAGGAATCTTACTATAATAATCAAAACGTTGTACTTCTTTACTCCTCAATGCAAAGTACTGTGTGACACAAGGATGTCCATATTTTTTGTCAAGAACTGGGGGGGGGAGGCTGTAGATTCAACTTATGTTCTGTACATGTTGCTGTATATATATGTGTCATGTTCTAACCCATCAGAGGTGATTGAAGATGCAAGTAAGCTTTGTCTGAATGAGTTGTGCTGTGCTATTTCATTCTCAGGTGGATTCTTGGGCAATAAAGATGTACTCCATAACACAAGTCTCCTGACATTTCATCATTTTGAATGAAGAGACAACAGAAAAAAGAAAATTAGAAATCCAGTCATTCAGAGGTGGTAAGTAGTTCAAGTCTAGTTCAAGACTGTTACTTCTAACTACGGCCCATTATGTCACATGTGGAGATGGAGTGGAAGAAGACAGATATAATGATGGAGGCCAAGTTTAACATTAAAGTTTAATTCATATACTTCATTACTTAATCCATAGACTGTGAAACAGGTTCAAGCCCTGGACCAGACAACATAGAAGTTTAATTATACTTTTTGTCATGTTTCCAACATGTGGCTTTTTGGCTGAGGGGATAGTAACACAGGCTATGAAAACTGTGAGCACTCTGGGCCAGGGCTCAATACCTGGACCAGGTAAGTCATAGTTTTAAGTGAAGAATGAACTTTATTTTGTTTTGCGACCATTCATGACAAATATACATTTAGCTTTTCTTAAAATATTTCTAAGAAAATTATGAAATTGGTAATTCTCTGTGGTGCTTTAGCGCAATGACAAGGTCTTTGTGCTTATGCTTTACAACATCAACCTTTCATGACAAATATATATCACAAAAGCACAGAATTGGTTCCTCAGTGTCAGCGATAGAGAATGACCACATTTACTTAACCATAACAATATGACTGGCTGGATGGATGGATGGATGGGCGGGTGGATGGTTGCATGAAGAGATGATTAAAGGATAGATAGTAATATAAATGATACAAGAAAGATACAAAAAAAGGACATGCCAAGGAAGCTGATGGATGGATCAAAAGACAAAATCAAAATGATCACATTTGTCCTTCACTCCTATTATCTGTCAGAAAAAGCTAACTAATCCCTTTATTCACCTTTGCTTAAGACTCACCAAATTCACCCAGGGTTTGACATTTTTCACCACATCAGCCATCAGTAAGTGGGTTTGTGATCTTATGTCCCCATATGTCCCAATCCCTAAATGAGTTAGTATGTGTCTAGTGGCCGTGTCGCCCAGACACCTTGGTGATGGATGAGGCCCTGAGGAGATGGGCTGTAAAAAAAGGCTGATTCTGGCACTCAAGGGTGAGATCACTTCCTCAATAAAAAAGCATTGTCCCGAATCATCACAGCAAGGTATGAATGCTGATTAGGGTATTAGACAGAGGGAGTACTGCTCTGTAAAAATAAATCAAATGAGCTGTTAGTTAATGCAGAGGGGCTTCAGATATAGGCAGGTGATGTTGGTAACTGAGGGCAAGGGGAAAAGTTTTCATCCATCCATCCATCCATCCATCCATTCGAATTAACAGTATATGGATATGGATGTAAATTCTACGCATTCAAATTACTGTATAATTCAGCCATTTACAGAAACATGACAACAAATTAGATTAGACAGAATAAAAATTAGTGCAACTTTTTACTTTAATTGATTGTTATCTTGTAAAATAGGATGATCAAAATAAAGTAAAGGATGTTCAATCATAGGTCGCTAACCACCAAAACTGGAAGGATCAAGGTCACTGAGAATTACAGAATTTGATAATTGTGTTAATTTATATATATATATATATTTAGACGGAGAGAAGAGACTAAACCTTGCATATATTCTACCTTTACAAGGGATTCAATCTGCCAGGTCAGGGGGCAATAGCTAAATACTTTAAAATACACTGTAACTCTATAAGATATATATTGTGACACAGCTACATCTGTATTTATGCGGGCCACTTTTTTTAAACTACTCGTTGCATGGCATTTAAATATTAATTCATTAAACATAATTATTTAAAAGCAAATGACACTCATTGGAGAGTGAACGAGCGACATTTGCGTGATAGAAAGGCAACCATCAGCTGCTGTTTGTCGTCCTCGTGTGGCCATTACTGCCATTAAGTCTAAGCGAAGCAAAGTTAAATATTCATTCCTACATATGACAAGTGCAAATGTTTTTATAGATTTTTTTATATATCAAATAACAACACAACGTGCTAAACTGTTTTAAAAAGTAGTGCATTAGTGTTACACGTACACATCACGTAGTTGGGCTGTAGGTATCACGTGATAAAATATTTTCCACCTGAAATAGAGCGACTACATGCTGTAGATGAAAACCGTTCACACGCAGTCTTTTAAGGAGAGGATAGACTCGGATGTCTAATCCCACAATGCACTGGAGCATCAGAGCAGTAATACATGCCTCTGCAGTAGTAATGGAATGGGAAGACCGACCCTTTTTATTCGAATCTTTGACTCTCGAACATTAAAATGAACGAGTCGTGAACGAATCTTGAACTAATCATTTCATTCGTTTTACTGCTGGTAGCGCTTTAGCCCTATTGTGAGCGTTGTAAAGGAGGCTGCGGGTCTCCCAACATAAATACTGAAGGCAACATGGTTTGCTTCCGCTGACAAAGTCTACAAAGTACACAAAATGCCATAAGCAATTAAAACCATGTGAAAAGCTAAGAAATAAAAACACACCACAATGTGATGAATGAGAGCAAAATAGACCCGAGCTCTCTGCCAGGTGAAAAATGAAACGAATCTGCGGAAACGAAGCAAAAGATTAGTTCACGGCAAAAGATTAGTTTGCAGAGAGTAATTCGTTCGTAGTGAAAGATTAGTTCGCAGTGAGTGATTTGTGAGTGATTCGTGAATTCAATATGAAGAAATATTTCCTATGACTCGGGAGTCACGAGTCACGAATCTTTCATTTGACTCGGGAGTCACGAGTCACGAATCTTTCATTTGACTCGGGAGTCACGAGTCATATGAAAGTATGATTCGTTCATTTTGAACGAATCACTCGCGAACAACACATCAGTACTCTGCAGGTGAAGTGAAACCTGATACTCGATTGTTACCATGGCGCAGATCAAAACAAAACAAACAAAAACGAATGCTGATGGGAATTTATTCATCTGGAAGCGTTAGTTTAGTTTTGCCTCCGAAGTCCGTTTTTCGCATTTGTGCGTTTTGGGAAGTAATATCACTGCAACAGGAAGACAAGATCTATTTCATCCTCCGGACTTGTCTTCACCTGTTTGTTGTTGCAGAGATAGAGCGAGTAAAAGTATCAGGTGTTAAATATTGATGGGCTGACAGGTGTGATCCTAAATGCCCGACGGGTTTCTGCCTGTATTGGTGAGGGGCTGCTAGCACGGCCGCCACAGGCTGAACCACGGACCTCAGTACTGGTGAGTCCCTGACCCGAACACACTGTCCTGCCCTTCCTCGTCTTCCTCTGCTTCTCTCCGCTTTCTTTCTGTGAATTTATAGAAAGCATTGGACACAATGTAATTTGTATGGGGTAGCTTAGTAGTGCAGTAGTAGTGCAGTTTCTGGCAGCCAACCCTAGGATTCAGGAGCCAAAATATACATAGTATAAACACCAATATATATACATATATATATATATATATACTGTATATATATATTTCAGTGGTGTCCAAGTTTATGACTGGGTGTGGATGGATAAAATGCTATATGAAGGAGTTTCTGCTGAAGAAATTAGGCCAAGGACAGCAGCAGGGCTACTGTTTCACTCTTATCTCCTCCATAGTTTACATGTGATGGTTTTACTCACTGTGCTGACTTGTGATGTCTGTCGCAACCTTACAGTTGAGAATAAAGAGCTCATTAAGAAAGGTTTACATACATAAGAACTGGAGATTCAAAGCGGGAATTTGTTTGCATAAAATAAAGTTAATAAAGCATATTTATTTAGTTGGATATTTGTTTAGAATTTCCACAAAACAAAATAGTAGAAAAATTGGTTTACCAGCCTACAGTCATTATTCAGATGCACAGATCCCCACTCCTCCTGAAGGAGGAGGAGGAGGTGGTGAGCGGGCTGAGGGAGGTCAGGGAGAGTGGCCCGTCGTCAGGGAGCTGTGGTTCATCGTAGTGATGACAGCCATCGCCCTGCTGCTGCTGGCTGTGGTGTTAGGAGTCGTGCTCCATAAGGTGAGGCCAAGTGATAACAATGTGTTGCTGCATAAGCTGATGTTTTGAATGTTTTTGACTTCCAGAAAATAAACCCAAGTTACTTTTTATCCTCCTCCTTCATTAGGCCTTGAACAAACTCCCCCACAGCAGAGAGAGACCTCCACTGGTGGCTCTGCCCCTGCAGAAAAGAAGCCCCATGGCAGTTTACCCACCCAGTAATTCTGTTCTGGTTAGAAGACATCAACTATTCTCTAAAACTAATCTTATTGTTCACTATTTCATCATTTAACACAGTAGATCAGAACTAAATTGGCATTTGAAGGTATAAATGATTGCTTCAAATTTTAAGCTGCTGTGCACAAAAAATTCAGCATTTATTGTGAATCCCACAGTACTAAATATTTATCAACTATTACTCTTTTCTTCTCTCTCTCTCTCTTTTACAGTTTGACACTGTTCCTGATACGACAGGCTTCTCCAACAGTGTTACACTAAAAGGTTTCACCATGAAGATAGAGGTGAAAATCAACAGACACAAACACACACATTATTAATTATGATCTTCCTGTAAACCTGTACATTCTGCCTGATTTCCTTCTCTGACAGGAAGTGCTGGAGGCCAAATGTGAGCCCACCGATCAGGATCCGCAGGGTGACCTCAGGGGCTTCAGTGTGACCTCATTGAGACGCAGCGTCAGCCAGATGATGGACGGAAAGACCCTGACAGGAGACGACGAAGCGTGGGACCCTCATATTTCAGGCCATGACAGTGGGATGGTGAGAGACCCCAAGAATGCATAATTATTCTAATTAAAAAAGGGGAAAAAAGCATTAACTTGTTTTTTGTAACAGTGTGCTTAATCTGTAGTCCTTTATTTAAGAAGGCAAAGCTGCAAAAGGGAATGAGCTTGGAGATACAGACTCCTCCATTGAAATCTTTTTAAGCATTTTCAATATTAATTTTGCAGTCAAAATCCAAACAAATACTTACAAATATTATTTTACATTGCATCATTGTTATGGCAGGGTTATTTTTGAGAAAACCGGTGACTTAAGGTTAAATTAACAATAACTATTTTAATCCTCTAGAGTAAAACCTAGTTTTATTGCTTTATACTAAACAGTTCTGCACTCTCCCCCGCAGTTCATGGAAGATGAAGAATTTGTCGACACAGTCAAAGGTTTCAGCACCGTGAGGAAAGAACATACCATGTTCACCGACACTAACCTGTGAACCCAGAATTACTTTTGAACCCAAAGGGACAGGGGTGAGGACCAGGGTTCTTTGTCTTCGGAACTAAACCAGTCAGAAGTTTTTACTCCATCTTAAACAGAAACAGCACGGTCAGAGACAGCAGAGAAGGGATTTGTCTGATAACATAGACTGGAATCATTGCAGAGACCACCAAAAAAAAACTATAAAAAAAACCTATAAAAGATAATGCTGAAGAGGTTAGAGGTCAGAGACAGGACGGCAAGTTGGGACAAACACAGTTAATGAAAAGTCCAACCTGCATCATAGTCTTTGCAGATTAATTTATTTGTAATAATTCACAATGCAGTGAGGGCACAGACACTCACACTATAATAGTCCATAACATGGGTACAAAATGGACATTTACACAACAAATTTATGGAGTGCAGCACCACAAGTGACTGTAAACAAATTTAGCTTTAGTTACATGGATATTAAACAGTATGGACCTTTATTTTTATGCTTTGCAACACCTTTCATGACAAATATACATTGTGTGACTAGAGCAGTGACAGTGGCGCAGGCAATGGACTCAGTGGAAAGTTACACAGATTGTGAAAATGTGGACGTGGGTTCAATCCTGAAGCTGGGCAACATTTGTTATACTTTGCTCCTCCTCTGGCTCCGGCTACACCTCTCACTAACCAATCAATGGTAGACTGCAGTGACGTAAAACAAATCTTGTTATTTTTTAATATAAGTTAGTACCAGGTATTACCAGGTGAAAGCCGCTATTTCCCACTAGACCTAGCTCAAAGAACTATCCTCTCGAGCTGAGGAGGGACGTAATACACTGCTAGGAGGAGTATGAAAGAGGAAAAAGAGGAAATAAATTAAAAGAAGGCAAATTAGAGCTGGAATTGTCATTTATTGTGTTTTCTAATTTATGAATCCATATACTGGAGTTAATTGCATGCAAATTGAAAACTCAATATATAGAATTTGCACCTGAAACATACTACCTAGTGGATGGATTTGATTGATCTAAAATGTTATTAAGAAACCTCTCTCGTATGTTCTCTATTTATTTCTGTTCTTGATCTATGGTTTTGTCTTCACAAAGTAAATGTGATGTACTTGGTTCGGATGCAACTTTCTTTGCTATTTCATCTGCAAATTGATTTCCTTTTGAAATGTCATCCGTTCCATTTGTATGTGCTGTACATTTACATACGGCTACTTGTTTTGGTAATTGAATTGCGTCCAGGAGTTCCATCAATAGTTTAGCATGTGTGACAGGTTTTCCTGTTTATGTAACCATGCCACAATTTTTCCACTGTTGTGCAAACACATGCAAAGTTGAAAAAGCATACTGGCTATCAGTCCAGATTGTAGTAATTTTTCCTTTCATCAATTTACAGGCTTCTGTTAGTGCTACTAATTCAGCTGCTTGTGCTGAGTAATGGTTGGGAAGTTGTGTTGCTTTTAACACTTTTGTTTTATTTACTACTGCGTAGCCTGTTGCATTTGTGTCATCTGGATTTTTTCTACTTGAGCCATCTACAAACAATACATGTGAGTTTGGAATTGGAACATCAGTTTAATCTTTTCTTGGTAAATGTAATGTTTCCGTTTCTACCACACAATCATGTGTGATTTCCTTCCACCATAATCTTGAAGTAGCACTGATGTCATAAATTGTCCTCTGCAATCCACTGTCTGGGTAAAAGGTTTCTTGTAATTTGGTAAGGCCAAGACTGTAGCTCCAAGCAATGAATGGTTCTGTTTTTATTTTAATTTGTATTTATTTGTACACAGATCTACAAATTCTTTAAATTAATAATACATTTACGTCATTTCCTCTGCCTGCTTTGCACAGGTGTAGCAATAGTTTTAAAATTATACCAGAAAAGTGCACTCTCGGCTTTCAAACAAACATTTGGTTGTGTGTGTGGATGTCACGAGGGGAAAGATGACTTGACATAAACAGACTTTTTATGTTTAAACTAGCTAATGAAACAGTTTTATGTAATGTTTAGCCATGTTATGAACACAAGTGTGTTTTTTCTCGATAAACTTCTATTGGTGGCGGCAAGTTAACCTGCAAGTGTGTTTAGTGGTGTGAACCACTCATTGTGGACACTCAATGCACAGTGGATGGCTCGTCCAGAAAAGATAAATGGTAAACGGAATGGTAAAAGTGACTATCTCTTTGGTCACGGTTAATGAACTTGTTCGTTAAATTGACTCCCAACCAATCAGATAGGAGAGAGTGGGTGTGCCCTCTTAATAGAAAATCACGCATAATATGCAGGGGGACTTGTTTCATAATGATAATAACTTATCATTTCATGCTATAATATAGTGGACTTTATACATATTCTATATTCTATATACTCTATATTCAAACAGCTATTGAATATATCACAGGTTCATAAGACACAATTATGTTCAGCCTTTTATTTTGGTAATGTCAATAATAAAAGTGTCATGCTAATACATGTTGTCATCACCTTTAATGTCTTCAAATTGGCAACATCGGTGACCATGTTTAAAAAAAGGTTAAAAACCTTTCTTTTTAATATTGCATTTGAATAAATACCCTATCCCCAGCCATAGGTTTCTTCACCCTGAAGTTTCTTGCTTTTTTCACTTTAATCAGTACTTTAAAATATGATGTATATTGTAAAGTATGTTTAGTTTTTATGAGTAAATATATATTTCATGTTTATCAATGTGGAGAATGTTGTCTTCTTTTGAAAAGTATTATCAATGTAGGTAGATCACTTTAGCCTGGTCGTTCGAAAAGTAGCTTCCAATCCAAAAGTGTGGACACCTCTGCTCTATGTGAAAAAAAAACCCAAAAAAAACAAACCCCCCCTTCGTTGCTTAAAAAGTAAACAGCAACCTCTGACCTTCTTGTTCATAAGCAACATTAGTGTGTACATTAGGATAAGCTAAAACACAAAAATAACCATTCTCACAGGTTAATCTGTCCATCCTTATTTATTGAAGTCTTGATCATCTATCTATCTACATTTTTTCTTCCATTTTTTACTAGGGTTACGGTATGTGTAACAAGGCATTTTCAAGGCGTGTAAAGGGGAGCCGTTATGCAAGCGGAACATAGTCTTACTTCCGCCGGAACGCAATTGTGATGGGACCCAATCGCCACAGTCACAACTTCACATTACTCAGCATTTAACACGCATGCGCCTGGGTAGCGGCGGTCAGGTTTAAAACGGCAGGCAAGTAAAGAGAAACCGGGTTAAAGAGAACCAGATGTTCTTACCAAGCCATTGTCAAAGGCTAAGTTTGACAGTTTCAAGGGATTACTGTTTGGAGAGTAATGTGAAATGGCAGATGAAACTGAACTCTGAACTTTCTAACTAGAACAGGTTGCAAATACATCACATCCACCAAAGAGTAAAATCCATCAATAAATTCAATACTAAAGTTGTGCTCAGCTCGAACTGAACAATGCCAAGAAAAAGAATCCAAAGAAACCATAAGTTTCCCCAAAAAGGCAATTTCCTCAAAACATCTGAAAATACAAGTTGAACATGAGACTTGGATTAGAATCCTGACCTTTGTCAATATTGAGTTATAGTTATTCTGCCGTACAACACCAATCTCTCACGACAAATACATATTCTGCCAAAGCTGCACCATGTCACTGGTTGGCGCAGTGACAGTGATGCCGGTTCCGGATCCTGTGAGTGTGGGTTCGGTTCCCGAACCTGCAGAAAGTATAACTTTATGTTAAAAAAAAGGGTTTGGGTAGCTCCTCCCCTGACTCCTCCCATTGGACGCAGCAGTCCAATGGAGGGGGAGAGGAAAAAGAAAACATTTAAAAAAAGGTAAATTAGAGCTTGAATTCTCATTTATTGTGATGTGTAACGTATCATGAATCCATCCACTAGTTTAATTTGTGTTGTTTAGGTCACGGGGTTCATTTCATGCAAATTAAAAATATATAGAGTTTGCACCTGAAACCTTTCACGTTAATAACATTTACGTCATTTCCTCTAGTTTGCGGATGCGTAGCCAGAGCCTATAAATAATACCGGAAAGCTGCACTCTTCCTTTTCAGACAAACATTTGGTTGTCTTTGTGTGTGGTGCACACACACACGACGACAAGCAAATGTTTGTTACGAGGGCTAAGC